TATGTTGAGAACAAGCTTTTTATTTGCTCATTTTTTTGCAAAAGTATTAAATCGTTTTTCTCCTGCCAGATAAATTATGTATAAGAAACTTTTCATGCTAATTATAATGCTCTAGGCAAGTTACTTAATTAGATGGGTTTTTTATAAATGTCATTTAAAAACTATTAAAAATTTATTTAAAAGTTTTTCACTTGATTTATTTATTTAAATTGGTTCATTAAAATTTATTTAAAATTCATAAAAGATCTTTGCAAGTATCCAAATATTAATACATATCTTTTCTCTAACCCTTTCCATCTTCATTGTAACTCTCAAAATACAAATCCCCTTTTTGCTTTATATAAAATAAAAGAGGTGCAATTATTCTCGCCACAGCTGTCATGGGGTGAGCACCGTCGGTTTGCGGTCGTTAATTGCGCTTAATGAGGGTGAAAATTCGGCCTCATTGTCTTTGGAATTGCAAGAAAATTTTCTTTGCCCGAATCCATCGGAATTAATCTTGGCAATTTCCAGCTCTTCACAAGCGCGCGTAAAACAAGCCCCACACTTGATGTCCTTTTTAGAGGGCCATTGTGCGGCGGTGCACACACGTGACAGGGTCTTTGAGACGCGTAATGGGCTCTGCTGCTGGACGCAAAGATAAAAGGTAGATAAACTTGCTCCGGCGGCCTGCCTGACGGAATTCGGCTGTCAGCCACTTTTGCAAACCGCAAAGACCTATCAATCTACCACTGCGCGCGGCCCTTCCCTTGTATTATTACACGGCCCTGCTGAGTGATTGCTATTGATTTCCGCCGAGATAATAAAATGCCGGCTGCTGCGTTTCTATCAATTCTTTCCTTTTTTTCTTCCCCTCGCTGGTAATTTCGCAGGCAAGGTCGCCGCCTTTCCAAACAAGAGAAATCTTAATTTTCTTTCGCCCATCGCGAGATTAAGGTTTGATTCAAAAGGCGGAAACTTAATTGGATGCCGACTCGTGTTTCCCTTCCATCTATGCTATTTCTTCCTCTTCTTTCTAATCAAATAAGGTTTTTTCCACATTTGCTGATTGTGAAAATTTTAAAATCATTTCCAGTTAATCGCAAAGAGAAGCAAGTTTTTTAATTAGTCTCTTAATTATGAAATTAAAAGATGGAACATAGAAAACTTTTAAATCAGTTAATATCGAAATTTCCTGGAAATAATTTTTGTCAAAATGGAAAAGACTTTAAGACAATTTTTAAATAAGTTGGCGTGGAGAAAAAAAATTCAAAAAGACTATATATTATTCGACAACATATTAGCTATTTAAGAACTCATTTTTGGAGGTTAGAATTTACATTTTTGCCCTAATAACTACCAAAATTGGCTTTAATTTTTATAACTTAGGAATATTTTGGCTTTACTGTTAAAATTCAATTAATTGAACTACATAAAAATTTGAAAACATGCAATAGGAATGGAATGTCAAACCCCAATTTTTTGCGTGTTTTACATACAAACAAATAAATTCCCGATTAAATTTTTTCAACTCGATTATTAAGCACTATGAAGTTACAAACAAACAACTTTTAATTCATGTGTTTTGTAATTCCGCCTGTTCAATCAAATTTTAGCGCTTCCACGATTTCCTCTCTGCTTTGACCTTTTTGTATTTGCAAAAACGTTTCGGATTCAATTAGGTCGTGCAATAATTTCGCTCCACCTCTGTTTTCATGCGCCCGGCCTGGAACAATAAGTTTGTGCGAGTTTTGTGCCCTTTTGATTGCATTAATTAACGCTGCAAATCCACCCAGCGCAGTCGGACTGACTGCCGGCGGCGGCTGTCAAATTCACATCACGCGCGTTTACGACAGCCAAAGCATCGCTTCAATTCGCCCCTGGAATTTGTGCTGCAGTAAAACATTTGCATATGCGGGGGTGAAGAAGGATCACCTCGGTGACGCGTAGGGATGCTTCGGTCGGGGGCGGCGAAAGATGCCAATCTCGCGTGGCCCGCGGCCGATGTTGTTGACCTACTCAGATACGCTTTACGAGCCAACAACTTTAGCCGAGCCGAACGACGATCAAACACTTTTCCAGTCCGTTGTCATCCATTGCCACGCGGCCTGATAATCCTGTGCAGGACCCACGATGGCCGCACATCGACGCGTGTTTGCTTAATCGCGAGTTAATTCCACTTGAAATTGACCTAAGGGAAAATTGAAACACTTCTGTTGGTCAAATTTTGTAAAGATTGGAATAAACACCTGCCTGAAATTTCATTTCTTATGCTTCCGAAAACATATATTCCGTAAAAAAAGCTTTTTTAATAATTTTTGGGTTGATGTTTTTGTCATTTCTACGAAAAACTATTTTGAAAAATTTAAACAATAAATAAATCTTTGAAATATAAGAAAAGAATTTAATCAAAATTAACATATTCCTTGTCCAATATTCGCAAATTTAATGAGAAGCCACAATATTCAATTAATATAAATTTATTTAAAAGTTTCCAACTATTTAATTGAAAATTGTGAAGTTAAGATTCTTCTATATTTAATTTTTCCCGTTTAATTATTTGAGCATTGGTTTGGAGAAATTGTTATAAAATTAAGACGAGCCAAGTTAATGTTGCAAAAAATTGTCCGAGATTTGTATCCAGCCGCCAGAAACCACAATATATTTTTTTATAAAATCATGAAATTGACCGAAAGTTTAAAAATTTTCCCCCAAAAAAATTGGCAAACGGTTCAAAAAAGTCAAAATTGAATTTGAATCTACTTATTGTAATTTTTACATCTCAAAACGATCTTAAAACTCAAAAAGCAACGTTTTTGAGAAAAAGTTGATAAGTCGTTTTGCTCATAATTAGGCCGTTTTTTAGTCAGAGTTTTTCAGTGAGTTCTAAAAAGTTCATTAAAAATAATTAAGCAATATGAACCAAATTCTATTTCAGAAGCAACAACCTAAATTTTGTTTCAAATTTCCTGTTTCATATTTCAAGTTTAATACTAAATTGTATAAAAGATTAGAGTGAAACGTAGCTTTTGTGCTTCCATCTAAAATTACTATAAAACATTGTTTGGGTGCAGCAAATAATCTCTGCGCAAACTGAACCACACAGCTCGGCCAAAAGGGTAAAAAATAGAGAACTAAAATGCCAGCGCACTCGGCACTAACAAGATTTCGGCGCGCCCGAGCCAAAAATCTCCTTCTCCTGCGAGGCAAACTTTTAAACGCGCGGATTTGCTAGAAACAAAGCTGCGAGGGTATAATTTCCTCTGCTTTGCTATCTGATCGGGCGCGAGTAAACAATCGCTGATCGATGCAATCATCAGCATGCGACGCGCGAATTTGCATGCCAGATTGCGATTTTATCTTCTCTCTTTCCATCTAATGACACGGCGCGGTGCCTTTGTGTCTAAATTTGAGCGGCGCCTGCAAGCTATGCTCGCCCGGATGCTGCCTCGGACGTGCGGGTTGCCTCCCGGTGCAGGCACAATTAGCGAGAGATCATCTGCCTAATACGTCCCATCCGCTCTTACTCACCTGTGCACGCACGTCGAAAAAGAAAAGGACGCGGAAAAAGCTTCAAACTCGGATTAATTACACGAATGCAGGCCTTTTCGTTCCTGCGCAAAATGCCTTCATCAATTTATTTCCAGCGCGTTTTGATTTTAACTTTTTTAATTTTTTTTCTTATATCGTCGGCTACGCGGACAGATGGCCAGTCCGTCGCTCCGCTTTTTGACACAAATGGCCACTAGCCATTTGCGCCGTTGGTACAAATGGCCACTTGACAGCTTTTAAATTATTTAAAATTTCAGCGTTGATTCATAATTAGATAATTAATTTTTTGATTTGCTAGTTTAAAATAAATTCCGTCTGGGAGAGGAGTTATTAATGTTTCCGCGAGAATTTTGTTCCATCAATTTTAAAAATAGAGAAAAGCTTAAAACAATATAAACCTTTATAGAAAAATGTTGCCAATTAAATTTCCTACAATTTCTTCCATTGGCTTAAAGGCGTCAGAAATTTTTTCACTTACGTACGGAAGGCTAAAAGTCAAAATATTATTTTTATTCATAGAATAAAATTTTTTAGAATTTTTTTGAGATAGCCAATCGATTGGAAATTTAATTTTAAATCTAGCTTCCAAATTACACCAAAAAATATTGAGTCGTTTTTAAGTTGCACTTTGTTTTCTCGTGAGCGCTCTGACGGCACCCTCGTCTTCAAAAGCAGTTTGAAGGGTGATCACATTATTATATTCTTATTTTAAAACGGCTCAATATTTTTTGATGAAATTTGATAACGAAGGTGAAAATTGAATTTCCAATCGATTGGCTATCTCGAAAAAATTTAAAAAAATCTTATGCTATAAAAAAAATAATATTTTGACTTTGAGCCTTCCGTATGTAAGTGAAAAAATTTTTGACGTTACTAAGCCAATGAAAAAAATTGTAGAAAATTTAATTGGCAACATTTTTCTGTTTAGGTTATTATTTTTTATAACTTTTCTCTATTTTTAAAATGGACGGAAAAAAATTCTCGCGGAAACATTAATACCTCCGCTCCTAGACGGAATTAATTTTAATCTAGCATTATCAAAAAATACATGATTAAATTGAACTTCATCGCTGAAATTTTGAATATTTTAAATTCACGCGTTCGCGCAAACGTCTATCACAACGAGAGCATCCTTCGCAACACTTCATTTGATTGAGTCCGTCCATTTGAATTAGTAATTAACTAATAATGAGATTTTACTTCTCCTCTCCTGCTTTGATTTTACATGTTCACGTAGACCTCTCCCTTTCAAACCTTTTTTGGTACAATAAATGCAGTTTGAAACAATTATTTCTTTCGGCTTTAAATGAAATTCATTGACATGAGCGTCTCTCTCCTCTATAGTTTTAAAGTATTTGCCGCAATTATGCTTATAATTGCATCTGATTGCAACATCTGCATGATTAATTTTTACATGCTGAGACAAGCCAACAAAATTTTTATCGCAGTAACAGCAAATTTTGCCTAACCTTGATTCAGTCTTTCCTCCAGCGTCGGCACTTGCTTTTTCTTCACTTGGCAATTTTTCCAAAGAAACCCAACACTGCTGCAATTTTCCATCTGAAATTAAGTTTTAAATTATACTGTTTAAATTCAATAATTTCTCTTCACCTGTGTAGTTTTTATGCAGGTCCTGAGCATTTTTGTCAACGTCTTGTTCTGGCCACCAGCACATATCATAATCATCTTCCCCATTTGCTTCATTGTGGCTTTTATTATGATAAAACCTGCAAAACAAGTTCTATTTGAATTTTAATGCATTAAGTCATTTATTTTAGTGGTTAAAGTGATTTACGATTTGAAAATAAACTACAGTAATCGAAACAAAAACAAATTATAGTGCAAGTTCATGGACGTAAGTCCCATATATGCATTGAACAGATCTGATATATATCCGGGGGCCCATGGGGTCAAAGGGCCTGGGGCATGGACCTAATAATCTGGTAAATCAATGGCCTGGGGCATATCAAAGTTGCTGAATTAGGCAACCCACAACGCACATGTGACAAGCCGCTGCCTAATTTACAGGAGGTTCCGAGCCCCTAAATTGAGACCCTTAAACATTGACAGAATGTGCGCTAATTTAAAAAAAAAAATATGGAAAAATATTAAGAAAAAGTTAAAGTTTCAAGGAGAATTGAGTGATTGTTATTTGTTATTATAATTTCTGGAAATTATCGGAAATTATAGTGCTCAACTTGCTCGAGTAATTCTCATTTCGAGAGCAGGCAATAGATTTTTCACTTCTTAAATTGTTTTTCTTCATCTTTTAATTTCATTTGAGCAGAATGATAATCAATAATATTTATATTTTACAAAATAATACCTGGCGTCCCAAACGCAGAAGTAGCAGAAGAGGTCTCGGTCGTCGATTTCTTTGGCCAAAGTCGTGCCCAAGAAATTCAGACACCACTCGGCCAACTTGTCCTTGTCCAATTCGGCCGCTCGGTGGCCGCCGTCGGCCGCCGGACGCTCGCAAAGTCGGCACAACTCACCAAACATCTTTCACAGCCGACTCAACAAGTTGTTTATTTTATAAACAGCTGAGGCGTTTTTTCAGCTGGAGGCGGAGCTTATTTTGATAGCTAAGCGCGCGAAAGATCACGTGTGGCCGTACAAATTTACGTTAAATTATAAGTATCTCGTGCTTTTTCGCGCGCGCTTCACTTTCAAAATGAGCGGAACCTGAAAGCGCCACGGCTGTTTTGTAAAAATAATAAACAACTTGTTGAGTCGGCTTTGGAAGATGTTCGCCGAGTTGTGCCGACTTTGCGAGCGTCCGGCGGCCGACGGCGGCCACCGAGCGGCCGAATTGGACAAGGACAAGTTGGCCGAGTGGTGTTTGAATTTCTTGGGCACGACTTTGGCCAAAGATATCGACGACCAAGACCTCTTCTGCTACTTCTGCGTCTGGGACGCCAGGTACGTATTAAATTATAAATTCAGTGTTAAAAGAGATTTAATTATTTCCTCTCGTTACTTGCCCTTTTACGGTGGACATTCAAAGTATTTTTAAAATAAATAATTTTGAATCTATATTGAGGAGAAATTACCACCAGAGTTAAAAAACTTGCAGAACAAAAATGATGTGAAATACAAATTAAAAAATGGATGTTAAAACAAAATTGAACAAATTGTATGAGCAAATTGAAAATAATATAGAGCACCGTAGAATTTCTTTGTAAGCACTAAAAGATTCTAATTTGAAGCAATTAGTCTGATAAGCACCAGCCGATAATTTCTTCGGTAATTGGCTGGACTTGTAATGAAAAATAAATAAATATCTTTCAATAAACAAAAAAAAAAAAAAAATTGCAGGTTTTATCACAGCAAGACCATCAATACCTACGATGAGAGCGATGACTTTTGCTGGTGGCCGGAGCAAGATTCCAACAGAAATACTCAAAACCTGTATAAAAATTATGGCGGTAAGAAGATTCTCATGTGATTATAAAGAGATGTTTATCGGTGCAAATGATTACAGCTGGAAAAGTGCAGCAGTGTTGGGTTTCTCTGGAAAAATTGCCAAGTGAGGAAAATGCAAGTGACAGTGCTGGAGGAAAGGCTGAGTCAAAAATATTCGAAAATTGCGGCTACTGCAACAAACAATTGATTCATTTAGTAAGGCATATACAGAATAATCATGCAGATATTGCTATTAGATGCAATTATCACTCACTTTGCAGCAGATATTTTCAAACTGTTGAAGAGAGAGACGCTCATGTAAAAGAATTTCATTTGAAGCCAAAAGTAGAAATTCTTTACGACTGCATTTATTGTCTTAAAAAAGGTTTTAATGTCAAGGCTCTATGTAGACATGTTAAATCAAAGCATCGTGATGTGGCAATCAGGTGCAGTAATCATAGTTGTGCTTTGTATTTTAAAACTCGGGCTGAGATGGATTTGCATTTAGAGAAAAAACACAAAAGTAGCAGAGAAAATGAAAAATGTAAATGCTCAATCTGCGACTATAAAGCTGGAAGTTGGCGTTTCATTGAAAATCACGAGGCAAAAGCTCATCAAGTGCTAAAAATAATCAAATGTCAGAAATGCCCAAAAACTTTCTCAAGTAGAATTGATTTGAAACTTCACTTTAATTGTACTCACAACTTTAGAAAATGCCCTGCTTGCAATTTTAGAATTAAACTTTGCAATTACTCTTCTCATTTTACAAAACGTTTTTGCAGGAAATGCAAATCCGGTTTTGATTGTTTAGAATTTCTCAGAAGGCATGAAAAGAATTGCAAACATGGATTACAATGTGAACTTTGCATGAAAAGTTTTAGGCAAAAAGCTTTGTTGCAATACCACGTGAACTTGAAGCATTTATTAGTTCAGAATGTGCGATCTTCAAAATCCAATTCGAGCTTAAATTTTCAGAGATTGAATACAATAAAATCAATCGCTAAGAAATTTAATTGTGCTCACTGCAGCAAGGAACTTTCATCAAAATACAGTATTGAGAATCACTTGGCATGTGTTCACAATCTGATTGAGAAAAAACATTGTTGCGATCAATGCTTGGCTAAATTTTATGATGCCTCAATATTGAAAAAACACATTCGCAACATGCACTTAAATGGCAAAGCAAAATGTAAAATTTGCAACAAGGAAATGTCCTGTAGTTCTTTAAGAACGCACATGATTAACATTCACTGCGCCTTAGAATGAGAAATCGTCTGCGGCTTCAATGCCCACCAGATTCACATCCGGTGCGCGCAATCAAGTAGCCCAGGCCTGGAAAATATTTCAAGTTTTGCCCTTTGGACCTGAGCCAACGTCAGAACAAGATTTTTTTTCTTTTCTCTACTGCTTTTCCTGGAATAATAATCTTGTAAATACATTTATGAACTTAGAATAATTTCAAACTTTTGATGATTAGTAAAAACAAGGTATGAAAGAAGATAAAACCTTTACATGTTTTTAGATTTATATTATTTGTTATCGTTAAGATTTTGGTTTTCAGTTACAGATTGTTTTTCGGGACAAAAAGGAATTGTATAAATTTGTGAATCCAGAAATAAATGATTGAAATACAAAACACAGAAGTTTTACGTATCAATTCATCAAAATTAATTTTCTAGAATATATTCAACCATAGTTCTTAAAAAAGTTTTGAGTTTTTCTTTATATCATTAATTTCCCTCATAATATTTAAGAGAGAAAGAAATTCCTAGTTTTTTTTTTTATTTCGTATCATGTCTTATGGAATGTCGTTGAATCATTGCCGTCTCCTTCAGCTCCTCTCAAAATTTTCCTATCCCAAATGAGAATTTTTTCACGGAATTGTGGAGATTATTTAATTTTTTTTTATCATGATTTAAACAAAATTCACATATTATTGACGACATGAACATTGAAGACAAAATATATATAAATGGTTTAACAAATTGATTTGTATGGTCAGTTTTGAAAACGACAATCCTAATTAAATTAAGGAAATTTCTCAATTTTAAAAAAAGTACATGCATAGAATATACTTCTAGCTTTTTTTTAATTGTAATTCTTATTTGATTTTGCATCGTAATTAAATAAATTTAATCTATATTTGCGTAACTATAACTTAAAAAATTACTACGTTCCTTTATGAAATAAATTTGTTTAAAATTGATTTTACCTTTATTAAATTATTTCGAATCTTTTTTAGGCATAAACGTTTTTAAACATCAATACACTACCACAATCTTCGTGTTTTTTACTGCTGCAAAATAAAATGATTCCGTGAGCATGAAAATAAAAATACTGTAAATGTGCAAGTGCTTGAAAGCAGCAATTTCACTTTTCACGCGGGCGCCAAATCTCATTTTAAGAGCGGCGATCGAGGTGTCGGAGTAAAAACCGAAATTTCAGAGCAAAAGGAAGACGAGACGAAGCCAAAAACAAGAAGCGCAGCAACACGTACTCCTCTGGGCTGCGAAAAAAAGAGTGTGCAGCTTGTTTTTATTGCTCGCACCATATCTGCTTAACGATTTCTTGGCCGGCGAAGGAAGTTATTTGGCCGCGTGTGCCGCGTGTATCGAGAGAAGCGCTGCCCATAAAAGAAACAATAATAGTAATATTTGGCTACTTCAGATAAGCGAACGGGTGCGGGCGGGCGGGCGAGCCAGCGAGCGAGGGGTGGGGGTGGCGCTGGCGCGCCAGGGGCGGCGCCGCCGCCGCCGCTGCTCAGCCTCCTCAGACCGTCTCCGGCACTCGCAGTGATGACGACCGCTCTTGGTCTTTGTGCTCCTCTCTAATCTCACCAGCAGCAGCTCCAAGAAGTTCCGCCGAGTTTTGCTTCCTCCACTCGAGACCGTCGGTGAATTCTTTCTTCGATTCCGCGATCGGTTTCCGTCGCGTCTGCACAAATGTTCGCGTCCACCAAACACGTGCTGCTCGCCCTCGTGGCCTTCAGCGTTCACATTTTCGGTGAGTGCCCAATTTTTTATTGTAAAAAACGAGCCTAAACTCGGAAAATCAGGAAAGGAAAATTGAAAAAATGCAAATTTTACTTTCAAAAATTTTTATTTTCTGTTCAAATTTTCTTGGTTTATAAAAGCACAAATTTATGGGAAAATTACCAAAATTGTCACTGATTAATTAACTATTGCAACGACTTTGAATAAAAAATGTGGAGAAACGTAAACAATTTATATGAGAGTGGCGTGGTGGACTATTCGGGACTATCAAAACGAAATATGAAGGTACAGAGAGTCGGAGTCTTTTGTTGTTTAGCGCGTCAAAAAGTGCTCTGCATCATGTTCGGGAGGTGCCGCAACTTGTCTGCTCGAGATTTGTGCCGTTTCCTCTCCGTTGTTGGAATTCCTGCACCAAATGGGGGCATTTCATACAGACCAGCGGCACCTGGCTTATTTAAGGAATGGAGCTTGGCAGGATCATAGACAAAAAAGATAAGAAAATAAGAAATGAAAAAAAAAACAGAAAAATGCAGCGATTTGAATTTATACTAATTTTAAGGCTTTTTATGATCATTTAATGTGAAGAACTATTTTACTGCAATTTATATGAACCTCTAAATTTCTATATTCAAAATCTAATCAAATTAATTTTGAAATTTAAAAAAAATATATTTCCCACGCCTTTTTCGTTATGATAGTTAAAAATGTCAAATATTGTGATTGGAGGCTATTTTTTAACTGTTAATTATCAAGTTTTAGATTGGATTGAAAATCTCATTTAGCTTTACAAAATTAAAGTTCATTGTCAGAGAGGGTTGTAATTTTTTTGTAATTTTCTGTGTATATGCTTTGAAAAATTGCTGAAAACAAGCGAAAGTTAATGCCAGCAGCTTTTACACCCACGCTGCTCTTTCTGGAAATTGCCTATTCAATTTGCGTCGTGACTTTCCGGGTCTATTTTCACCATGGCCTCCAGAAATTTCCATTTTGAAACATTCTCGTGTTCCCTTGACAAGCATGACATCAGTTATTTGTCTCTGAAAGTTTTAGAAAGTTAAAATTATTTAAAAAAATTTACATTATATGCTGGAAATTAGAAACAAATGAAAGAATTGAGATTATTGAAAATATAAAGAAATCTTTAAAAATTTGTTTCTGCATTCTTCTGTAAAAATTCCAATGTTGCTGGTTCTAAAATAAATTTCATTGTGTAAAGAGTTTTGAAAATTGATTTTGTGCCAGTTGAGCTTAAAAATGCAACAATTTTACACTAAAGCTGAGCATATTCATAGCCCATTCGATTTGCATTTTCACATAATATTATAAAACCCAAAAAACATGGATTGGCCGATCAGCCTCCGGAATGGAGTGAAATCGGTGTGAAGTTTAATGAAGCCCGATATAACATGTTGGCCGCCGCCATTTGGACGGACGGACGGACGGGCTGATTTAAAATTCAAATTTGTCCCGCGCTTATTAGTCGCCGGTAGCATTGTTTGGCGCGCGGCATCAATAATTCATTAATGGCAACACACTATGCACGCTCGGGGGCGTTTGATCAGATTATTATGGCCGTTAATTCGGCCAATCAGATTTACGGCCGCATCAATTTGCAATAGTCGAGTGAGTGCATTAAATCACGAGATTCGTCCAATATGCGCTTTTGTTTCTCGCTGCATATTTTTCCCTCGGCCGCCGCAGAGACCGCTAATTAATTTAAAAGCAGCTCGCTGATTGCGTCCGCCGGGAGAGAGATTATTCCGGCAAAACCACCACTCGATGATGCGCTCAATGTTATGGTAATCAGTATAATTATTTTATATTTAATTTTGCATTTTGATTTGCGCGTCAGAAATGGGTTAATCGCGAGCTTTTTGCATTATTTATTCATTCAATTTTGTTCAATTTGCGTCATCGGACGTTTCATTTCCAAAGTGTTAAAATATAATCCGCAATGAATGAGAGATTTTTGTGCGATTTCCATACTATGGCATTAATTTATCAAAATACAAGCAAGAAACTTTCAAAAGCACATTTATTTTGAAACTTTCTTGCACTTCAACACACATGTTTTCAATTTTCTTAAATGCAACGATGATTTTTGAAGTAATTTTTGTGAAATTTTCAATTATTTCAGAACTGCAGGTATTTACATAGAAATAAATTTTCCTTGCCAAAATTTAGGTTTTGATTTAAAATTCGGCTTTAAAAGTTGAAGCTAAAAATAAATGTATAAAAGTCAGGAAATAGAGAAGAAAACTTAAAATTTATTAACTAAATTTGAATTTTTATAAATTTGTTCAAAATTGATTTAAAGAGTCATTTTTTTGTAAATTTATAAATAAGGTGTCATTTGATGGCAAACCTTTATATGATTTTTTTTGTTTTCTCATAAAAATACTCGTTATTTTCATTTCCTATACTTTTATCAGGAAAGTATTTTGTATTTTCCACGTTCAACCGCATCAGTCGTTTCAATGAAGTTAAGCAGATTAGAAAGAGAGACCCTGTGTGTCTGATGTGATTAAAAAGATCGGCGAAAATGCTCTCTTCAGCGAACGCGTTTGATATATTTAAAGCGTTTAGCAAACAGGTGAACGCGGCCGAAGCGACCCGGCGGTGTTTCGAGCTCAGTGGCTGGAAACAATGGTCTCGCTGCAAATCGCAGTTGACAAAGCGGGCATTAAAAGTGTGGTGTGCATGTCTAAGTAAGTAAAAGAGCAGAGAGCGATTTCGAAATCGCCAGACTGCGAATAAAAAGAATGCAGATTTAAAACTGGACGGATTTTACAATTAGAGTTAAAAACAAATGAATATAGAGAGATGGTTCAGAGATCCCTGCTGTCACTAATTCCTCTAATTTAAATTTACAGGATATTAATTTCTATATAGGTTCTTGAAGTGGTTGTTGTGGAACCTTAATTTTGTCACTCGAGGTGATCATTTTTGATGAAATAAAATCCGCCTTCCTCGGTGAAGATGAACAACTTTATTGTGTCTGCATGGTACAGAAAATCCCTGCTCACATTATTTTATTTCATCAAACAGGATATAAATTTGTCAAAAGACACGAAATATTAAGAACAGGCTTAATTTTGATGGTAATTTTTCCCTAAATTAGCAATTTTGATGTCTGTTCCAAGCAGAGTAAGAAAAATTTAAGTTATTGGAAGAACTGAATTTTTGATAATAATTTTCTAAATTATTATCATTTTTATTTAATTACTTGGCTAAATTTGATAAAAATGTCCACAAATCACGTTCTTATCACCCCATTTAATAAAAATGAGAAAATAAAATCTATTGTTACGACGTAAAAAATTAAAAATTTACATTGATCTCTTGTTGTTAGGAAAAGGTTCACAAGTTTTAATTTCAGTGAAGATTGAAGATAATCATAAGATCCTGCTTAATCTGCGACCTCTGAGAATGATTATGAAAGTGGGGCTCTGAAATCCATACATAACTCTTGAAGAAAAGAATGCTTCATTTCCAAGTTCAGTCACGGAGGCTTTTGAAAATTGGATTCTTTACTTGAAAATTTAATTGAAGTTAATTTTAATTAAGTTTTTCCCTTTAATGTATCGTGTATCCACATACTCGGCAGCTCTCTCGAGTTTAATTTTCATTGACCCCGTCATAAAGTGGAGAGTTTTATTGGCGGACGCGCTGCTAATGCAATAGTGCAGCTCTTTTATTGTTCTAATCCCTGGCCGGACGCTGCAATAACCGAATTACGTTCTTGCGTCGTCTCGCGAACGTGTTGCAAAGAACGGCGCCGGCTTAATTCAATTGAATTTTTCCGTCGTCCTACGACGATCATTGTCCCCGCGCTGCTCTTTCTCTCTGTCGAATAAATTGCCCGTCCGGCGGGTTTTGCATATTATTCTGTTTAGCTCTTTTTGCTGTGAAGCACAGACCGCGGTGAATTATTCAGTGCAAACGCGCACGTTTTTGGTGTGCGCAGAGATTGCTGAAATGTGCGTATATTTTCGCCGCCGGCGTTTTTCCAAATAATATTTTTGCCCAACTTTGTACGTTGGTTCAAACGAATTTCATGCCGCAATATACAGGCTTAATTAATGGAGTGACGTGATTTGTTTGCTTTTTACCTGAAATTGTCGGTGGTGATTACTCTTGTTTGTAGTTTTTATTTTTATACGCAAAAATATCAAATTAACTTGATTTTTCGGTTGAAATTTTGAGCACTTGTTCAACAGATTGAATTTAAGGCTAGTTTTAAAATTGATTTCATCTTTCATCTTATTTATGTGTAAGATTTTTAAAACACAGTTTTTTAATGTTATTAAAGTTTGAAATATTTTATTTTGAAAGATAAATTTTTTTATTAACATCAGCTATTTTATAACTTTCAAAGCTGCATTAATGAATTTAATTTCATTAACCTCACATTTGAAAGTTAAAACTAAAAAGTTTAGCGCTCTCTTTTTATAATAAAATGTAGATTTTTTTTTATAATTTATTGCATTTCCTCAATTAAAACTTGTTGATAAACATAAAAGCAAGATTGGCAAATTAATATTTTCCTCTGTTTTGATCTTTCCTAATGACGAAAAAATATGGCAGCAACTTAAATTCCAAAACATTCTATTTCACCCTCATAAAAAATTGCGTTTAATTAAAAAAGCCTCTACATTTCTGCAGACAATGAAATTTTTTTCCGCATTTTCTTCTAGAGTTTCCAAGAAAAAGCTTGGCTACTTGGCAACGACCTTAATGAATTCAAAAGGTTGCAAAAAGCAATGTGCTTGCTCATCACCCCTTTTCGAGGTTAATTTTCGCCCTGGGCCAGTAAATCACGCTTATCTGCGCGGGCAATCGCTAATTATTATTGCCTCGCAAAAAACCAGCTCAAAATTCGCGTTGCAACAATAAATAATGGAGCGGCGCGCAGACTTTGCTCAACACGTAATGGCCCTTGCGTACAGTGTGTTTGTTTAATGGCTTAATCAAATTAGAGAGCTGCTCGCAAAGTGTCACCTCGGCATG